GGTCGATCCCACGCGAGACCCATGAAAGATAAAAAATTGCAAAAAAATGCCGACCTCCCTCCTTTAGTGTAGTCTATAAAATCTCTGTAAGTGCCCATTCTGTACGTGTAGTGTGGCTCTAAATAGAATTGTGCCTCATGGGAGGCCTCAATTAATTTAAATCACATCAGAACAAGAAAAAACTGTCCCATTGTCTATTACCGTTGCTCCCCCACAATTTAATTGTACTGGTTTGAGTCATCTAATCACTGCATGTAAATTCTTAATTATATCTAGTTCAATTAGATAATTCTACCTATTTTCTGAACAATATTCTTTTACCTATCTAACATTAAATCGCATTACCAAACTTGTAGAAATGTTCTATCTATCTACGTATGCTCACACACAACATGTTATAATGAACGTTGTTGATCTGAAAATTCGATAACGGCAAGCTATGAAGAGATCTGGTCACCTCTTCACTTACATGTACTCCTTCTACAAGAGAATACTTCGTCAGCATACAAAAAGCAGCGTTAGTAGAAGGTGCCACTATTTGAACTCCGATGATCAAATAAGTTACCGAAACAAGTTCCTAAAAACTAAACTTTCAAGACAAGTAAAAAAATGGGATGCAGACAAGTGTGTCGAGCCTGTCTATTAGGCAAGGCGACTTACGAGAGGTGTGGAATGTGGATGCCCTGTGAGCTTCCAACGAAGCCAAATAGTAACAAATGTATAGTACTTGACAGTACTAAATGAAAAAGTGTAAGTTTTTATCGATTGTAAATGAACATATTTTCGAACGTAATTAAGGATGAAAAATACGAGATTGAGTCTATAGATAATAACTTGTGACAATATATTTCAGTTTTTATTATAAAAATGAAAAGTTAAAATTTGAGATGAGGGATGTGGCATCCTTATATTCATTGGTATTTGATAGTCTCAACAACCAAACCAAACCAAACTTGCAGAGACAGTGACTCTACTAGGGTGTCCTTGGGACGAGAGGGACATTTGAAAATGTAAAGAGATTGCAATTGTGGATTACGTGGGTATAGACTCTTCATACAAACTGTCTTTAATGTGCCCTCTGCTACATGCAGATGTTGAGCTGGTTTTCAGACTACTTGTTCTTACCCAGTTGGAGGATGGAAATTCTTTAGGAATGAATTGGGATATGTGCTTAAAATTATTACGATATTATTTATTTCGACAAAAGAGAGTTACATTATATTTTGAGCATGTGTATGACAAAAAAAAAAAAAAAAAGGGGAACTCCAACTTTGAGGCTCCACCACCTCGTCCCTAAAGTTTTGTAAGGGAGGTAAATCACAGAATATGAAAAAAAAAGAGGTTGAACTCCAACTTTGAGGCTCCACCACCTCGTCCCTAAAGTTTTGTAAGGGAGGTAAATCACAGAATGTGCTTCAACAGATTAGGAAACAAGAGCTGCCTGTACGTTGTGCCTACAAGTAAGTGAACTAGTGCCCATGAGTGAGATCTAATTTCAAAATATCGTTGCTAAAATGCTTTATGTCAAAGTGTTGAGTTTTGATATTATTTTAAAAGGATCAATCAAATCTCTACGACATTGTCATGTTCTGATCTCGTGAAGACCTGTGGTCTAGCTCCCATGGGAAAAAGATCTCTCTAATAGTTGGCACAAAGTTTTCGACGATATTTGGTTCAACTAAAAAATTGAATTAAAATTTAAGTCAAATTAATAATTAAATTTAATCACATATTTTAAGAAATTCACAACTTTTCAGTCACACATTTCAGAATTTTTATTAAAATCTATTAAAAGTTAAATTTTTATCTAAACCAAACTGGGGCAATATATATGACGACATTCAAAAACAACGAAAATTCTTTGCTTCGTCTGTTGTGGTAATATGCATGGTATTATGATATGATGGCTCTGTGAATAATCTTTTTTGGTAAAATTTATGGGTTGGTTTTTGAATAAAAGATGTAATGGAAGTGTTCATGAAAAGCCCAAAGCAATTTCAATATCATAGATATTTGAATACAAAATTACAAAAATAGGAAAAATATTATCTTTATACATCCATTGACTATGAAAGTTGTAGTTATTTTTTATAAATAATTATCTTTCTATTTATAATATACTTTATATTTAGTTTCGCTTAAAGCAATGATCCAATGATTGAACTAGTGATTCAATGGTTCGGTGTTTTGGTCAGGTTAATAATAGAGTTGGGTGTGACTATTGTGCTCGCAAGTTTTATTCTATATTTTTATTTGACAGTACCAAAAATGGAAATTAAGTTAAAATTAATTATGTCCAGTTTAATTTATAAAGGAAATTTACCTAGGAATTGTTTATAAAAAAAAAGGTTAAACCCTAACCTTAAAGGTCCCCCACCACCCCTGCCCTGGAGCATCGTAAGGGAGGTAAATCACAGGTTATGCCTCCAAGGGTACAAGGTGGAAGGCTGCTTGTACATTCTTAGGAATTGTTTATTCTTCTTTGAGTGCTTGTCGATGAAGAGAATCACAGTGATGCTCTGAATACTGTCATTTTTTCACTGTGATTGTGTCCAAAACTTGTACCCCATTTTGTATGGTCTATATGTTATACATAAAATAAAATAATTTAAAAGTACATTTTATTTTCACATACTTATGGAATAATCTGTATTAAAGAATAAATTGTTGGAAGAACTACGTAACACTTCATCAACATCTGGATGCAATTTAAGTAAATTTTGTTAAAAAGAAAAACTTTTAATTTAATTTATTATTTGAATTGTAGACTAATTGAAATGCCTTTTGAACTAATGTTATTTTGAGTTTACTTTGTTACGAAGAATATCTCAATCTATATTTAGTGCTTATTTAGTTTTAGATTTTGTTTACTAAAAAAAATTGTTCTGGCTTCATTTTTAACCATAAATTTACAATTTTATCCACTTTTTCACGACACATTTCGTGGACACACCAACTTTTAGCATCATGGAATATTACCCTTGACAATTTCTTGCTGGAAACTAAATAAATGTAAATAATAAAATATCAACCAATTATATTCTGATGAACGCAGCTCCTTAATAAATCATTTTTCCAATAAAGATAAATTAGTGTTTCAAAACCCCAAAAATGTTGCAACAAAGTTCACACGAAATTGATTGATTGTGAAAATTTTGCAAGAATTTATTGAACTGTACACGTTCTTGGATATATATATATATATTCTTAAGAAGAAAGTCACTGCTGATAACTTGATTTTTCAGGACCTCATTCGTACATCCATTTATTTTGCTGATTTACTATAGTCTACTCAGAATTTCCAAATTCAATCCAAAAAAGAAAAAAAGAAAAAAGAGGTCAAATCGAATCAAAAAACCCAACCTCCTAACGTGTTGAAGCGACTTGTTTCGATGATATCAGTTTATCTTAAAATTATTGAGCTCAAATCAATATCGAATCATACCAATGACGATAGATCTACCTAAATTTGTACTGGTCTTGATTGGTTTTTCGGTGACGACAACATCAACTAGTGGTCCGACTACATAAAAGTGGTGTAAAAATAAAAATAAAATCTTAGACAATGACACAACCTAAGTGAGACTTTAATTTGTCACACTGCACAGTGCATTGCATTCCCAAGGCTTCTTATGTTACAGGAATCATTTTCTTATTTGGCTGATTCATTTCAGAGAATAAAACAGTAAATCAAAACATTGACTAGTCATACGCCCAATACAGTCAATTCCAAAACCAAATGGTCGGGTCCACATTCCCACCTTTTCTCCCTAAAAAAATCACAAAAAAGAACATGGTAAGTAATCATGTAGTACGACGTCGTTTCTTTATCAAAAATCCCCTTTCGATCTTCTACCTTCTGCAAATAAAAACTGGATCGAACGACTCGACCGCGTATCAAGTGAAGTGAGCGAAAAAGTTTTGCTTAATGGAGAGAAGTCGCAATAGTTTCTGTTGAAAAAATGGTTATGAAATGGTTCAATTTTTAGCCCAAATTTCAGTGGGACTCACACCTTAATTAATACAGGACCTAGCATATTCACGCTCTACTTCGCAAGGTGATAAACATGGTATATTTATTTATCGAAAATCATTTAGAATTAAATGAAATATTTAATGTCAAAGTAACTCACTTGAAACTATGAATTAGTGAAGAATTTGATTTGCCCAAACACTTATCCCACGTAAGAAAGTTATGAAATTTTGGTGTAGTTTATATGGTGCAAGTTTGAGAATTGGGTTTGGGCTCCAAGGGGTACGAATAGTTTTTGGAAGGGGGGAGACTTATATCCTATCGAGTTCGGTCATAAGTCCACACGCGCGGGCCGTCATCCGTCCGACCGGCTCGGCTCGGCAAGAGTTCGGTGCGGATGCGTCCTTGCACTATATTAATTTTTTTAACAAAATTTATTTAAATTTTTGGACCAAATTGTATACAATCAAATTCTTGAGTACTTAATAAAATTTATTTTTTTTCATTGGCCTTTTCCAGGTAATTTTTTTTTTGGATGGTCTGTTAACCGACCAAACCGTCGATTGTTAACCAACTTAACAGACGCAATTTGAACTAACATGTCTGTTGAAGTTTTGGCGGCTGTCTAAACAGTGACGACTGTTTTGAAGGGTATTCGAATAGCCACAAACAAGTCTATAAATAGCCTGCCTCGCTGCTAGAAAAATTACACCATTTTCATTGCAAACTTTCCGTGCTTTGAATCTTATTCTTCTCTCTCTCGTTTTGATATTGTTTCGAAATCAAATACACTTCGTTGAATTTGTTGGAACTCCTACAGATTGTTGTGCTGCTTCCGTAGGAGACGAAAATTCGTTATATTCTAATAAATGATTGCTAGACGCCTTTAGCACTATTAAATGCAGCAAATTCGTTTTAAGTAAACATCGTAAAATCGGTGGGCTCGAATTACATTTTGGATTCTGTTGATCACTTCTTATATTCGGTGATTCTGTTGAATTATTTTCGATGGAGTAATTTCAAACTCTAGAAATAACAATTTCTTGGTTTAACTCTTATTAAAGGATACATGCCATTGCCATCACTACAAATTAAATAAATAAACAAAGGCATGGTTTTCTCTCTTGTCTATTTTTCATCTGAGAACTGACCATTGAAAAATTGTCTTTATATTGCTATGGTAATCGACAATACATCTCCTTTTCTTTCATGCAACAAAAACCTCTCCAATTTCTTTGCTTTTAAACCAAAAGACGCTCTCATTTTCACCAAAACTGATATTTGGGTATGAATGAAGATAATATTCACATTTAGTCCAATCTTCTCCTTTTAGAATTTGGGTTTCTCTCATCAATTTTATAGCTCAAGCTGGCAGCAGCCTCCAACACCCCATTTGGACTTTGGGGCACTGAAGATGATGACGATGGAAAGGTGCCAATGCCCATATTTGCAGTAATGGTAGAAGAAGAATTCCTATTAATTGATTTCAAATCTTGAATTAGTTCAAGGCACTTCAACACTCTCCCCTGCAACAATAAGACACATGTAAAATTTGAGTGTTGAAAAGTTCAACGTGATTATGCTTTCACCAAGAAAATTGTCTTGTCTTGTCTTGTCTGAGATTTTATTGAAGTGGGGACATAAATAAATTACCTTCTCTACTCCTATGAAACTGTCCATTGCCTGTATTTCTTCCCCTGAAACATACATTGCTATTGCTGCAGCTAATTCAGATGGCCTGAATTCCAGTAAGTCAATACCTGCATTCAATTTCCCAACCAAACAATGAATCAAACACTTTAAATTATTGAAATAGAAGTACATTGCAAACCAATATTTAAGAGAGACCTCTGATTGTGCTTAAGATCAATTCAACTGATCTAATAATCAATGGCCCTGATGGGAACTCATCATTTTTCGCCACTTTCCGGAGGAAATAGTCGATGAAGTTGAACGGAGTATAAGCTTGCATTTTCCATTTCAAAATGCTCAATACCAAAAGCTCCATTCTTCGTATGGTTTTACCTTGAAACAAGAATTTTGGTCCCCCCACCTGTTCCATCAATCCAGATTAACATAGGCACATGGAAAACCATTGCAAGTAGAATATATGTTAATTTTTTTCACCTGTAAATCCACGGTGGAAGGAACTTCAATTTCCTCCATTTTGGCTGCTAGTGATAAACAAGCCACGGCTAACAACTGAAACCCCCATGTCTTACCTCTCTGTGAACGCCAAGAAAATTTTGACAAATCAGTAATGGAGACAATAAGAATTTAATCACTATAAAACAAAATGCAAAATCAATTGGGAACTCACAGGCAGGTCATATACAGATTGAAATCGGTCAAAGTAATTTATGGCCAAACACAAACACAGTGCTCCAAATCTGTAGTGAGCATGAGCCTGGAAACAGCAAATAATCAACATCATTAAAAATAAATAAGAAGCTTTGGTGATGCATTTGCAATTTCTATTTAAATGCCCAAGAAAACATTAAATGAATGAATTATCATAAATGGTACAGCAAATCCAATGAAAACCTAATTTTCAACCCCGTTTTAGATAAAAACTCGTTAATGAGGGAAACCCCCATTTTCAGAAAATTGATGACAAAGATCAACAAGAACTAAAACAGCATTAGAGATGAAAATGAAAACATCAATGGAGGAATCAAATGTATAAAAAATGAATTTGGTCCAAGAGACAGCAAGAAAGAAATCAAAACCTGTTTGATTAATTAAACAAATGATCAAGAAATCTCAAAATAATCACTTCACCTTACACATCCAATCAACAGCCTCTCTTCTCACACTCATATCCAAATCCCCAGTCCTGAGTCTATTGAGATAATCATCTCTGGGCATGTGCTCCATTTCTCTCTCAACCATCAAACCGACGCTCTCTTCACTCAGAATTGGCAAATGAATCAATGGCTCAGAATCTGGTCCGCCATTGACAAAGCTCATACCTTTATTATCATCGGTTTGACAGCTGACGTCACTGAAAGGATCAGCAAGATCGTCATCATCAAAGCACAAGCTTTTGGTTTCTTCATTACAGAGAAGGTCTGATGCTGTACACTCGTAACTGTTACTGCAAGCCATTTGAAAAAAAAGTCCTCAATAAATGTGAATGGAACTTATCAAAATTTCATAAGCAGCAAGGACTTTTTATGGGGATTTTTCTGCATGTAAAGATTTGCATTATGGTTTCGCCATACTTAAAAGACCTCAGAGAGAGAGAGAGAGAGAGAGAGAGAGAAAGGGGGGCTGTCTGGATGAAGAGACTGGGGGTGTGCTAAAGAGGTGAGCTTTATGTAGGAAATGAACATTTGTCTTTAGGGTAAAGGTAAATTAAGGAAGAGAAGACTGAAAAATAAAAAATAAAAAAAAACAGAATATTTATTTATTTTTACATATTTGGGAAGAAATTTAATAATTTATTGAAAAGGGTGGAAATAAAGGCTGGAATATGAAGTAAAATGACAAGAATGCCCTTCTGAATTTGGGAAAGTTGGTGTGTGGTCATTAGTAAATATAGATCACATGGGAAGTAATTGAATGGTAATTAAGGGAGTGTAAAACTGTGATAATGTAATAATGATTCTGAATCCCTGATGGGATTAATGAGGTTATGACTTATGAGATTACATTTTGTTAGTTTATATTTGTAAATGTACCCAAAGGTGACTTCAATATTCATTTTGCACCCTATAATTTTTGTGATTACAAAAAGTCGTCTCGGATTATGGATAAATGAAGCCTTGTCACTTTGTAAGTACGAGTAATCTCAATTAACATCACCTCTTGAGCTACTGGCAGGCATCTCTGAAAACACTCTCCCAGGAGAAGGGATGCTTTCTGTCATGCTGTTATCAGATCGATCATCCCTTTTAAGATGCCTTTTAGTCCCAGAACTCTCAGTCTCGGTGAGATCTATCATATTGCACTTTAATGATTCTGTCTGAGGGCTCCTATTTCTCTTAAATGGAAGGAGCGAGTGGTACAATTCTCCAACTTCCTTGCTTAAACTTACCTGTTTCTTTATTGAAAGCTCGTTACTGAACATTTCCTTCACATTGGATGGAACTTCTAAGCAAGGGGTCACATCCCCCCGAATGCCTCCCAGGTGGTATTTGAGGTGACTGAAGCCACTAACAACTTTGTCACAATAATTACATTTGACTCTATTCTTCAGCGGATCTACTATAACACCATGATCTTAAACGTTAATAAGGAGCCCATTCAACGTCATCTTCTAAATTGTATTTGACAGCAGGGATTGATCTGAGGACAAAATTGTATGCATTAGAAAACAGTAAAAGAACCGAAAAGGCAAGAATAACAGGTGAAAATATGATATAACTACCCCGATGTACAATATTGATAAAAATAGCATTAATTCTACATAAAATTCCTTGCAACAAAATTGGCACATGGTAAAAAAGGATAAAAGAAGGGCCTTTTTATTTTCACATTTGTTTTGTGAGACAAATGGTTGTAGATTAGAGGTATTAAATTGGGAAGTGCGGTCCAGGGACGGAGCTAGGGGGATAAGAAAAATTCAACTTGATCGATACATAGAGGGGAAAAAAATGACTTTGCTACATTTACATCAAATTTTACATAATGGGTTATATAATGCCACATGTCACGTTATCAATTGTCAGCTTAAAACACAATCAATTTTTTCATCCAATATTTTCCCTCCACATCATTTTATGTAATTTCTTATGTACAAGTAGCATAATTTAAAAAAAAAAATTTCCCTTGAAAAAAATTTGGGTTGCCAGTTTTTGTTTTTATAATTTTGTTTTGTTTTTTTGAAGGACTTTAGAGGGAAAATAAATTTAAAAATAATGGCACAGGTGGGTACCAGGAAGGACCAGGTGTGCCTGGCCACCTCACAAGTCAAGCTGACTAGCAGATTTGCGATCCCCACTTATTACAAGTCGGACAAGTGGATTTTAGTCGATCCACCCATTTTTGACACCAATAGGTAAATGATGCTTTGCCAAAATCAAAATATAATTGGACATAAAAGTGCAACACATATTAAACATATCATAGTTTAAAAAATATCGATTGAAGCCAGCCTCAAAGCAAGGCGAACAAAAAACGCCTCAACGAGCTCATTGTGAGGCAATTCTTGGAGCTCAGTTAAGTGAAGTGACGTGAAGCTTTGGGAGGCATGAGCTATTTAATTATCTACTTACTTTGCTTTAGACGTGAGTTCGCAAAATATAAAATATTTTCATTTTGTAAAAAGAAAAAGAGCAAGCATACCCACTTTTCAAGAGAGGGCACAAGAAAACACCAACTTTTTAAGGTCTCGTTTGGGAGGGATTTTGAGAATTGATTTTTTGGCCGTTAGAAGAAAAGTGGGGTCTACTTGTGAGAGAATAAGTCAAAAATTATGATTGGAATAATGAAATAACGGTCAAAAAATCAATTTTTTTGAGTAAAAAATCTCTTCCAAACAGGTTGTAAATCCACGTGAAACATAGGATAACAATGGGGTGAGAGTAAAAAAAAGTACTCATTTAGCATCCATGTTTACTTATTTATTAAGGCCCTATTTGATCCACAATCCTAAATATATATATATATATATATATTTTTTTTAAACTTCTTTAGAATTTTAGATCATAGCCTATTATTTTTCAACATATACTATTAATTTTTTCTTAAAATTTACTATCGACCCCATCACGTTTCTAGCTGAGATGGACTCATTAATGAACGGCATTTATTACTATGATATAGAACATTTCAATTTCATTTATGAAGTAGAAAGCTAGCATTTCCAGCTATTTGACGATATCTTACTATCTACATTTTTCAGTATTAATGAAGTAAGACCTACAAATAATCGATTGTTAATATTTTTTTAACTTCTTTCGAATTTAAGATCATATCCTATTATTTGATTACATATACTAGTTGTAGCAAATATAAATGGATATTTTTTCCCTAAAAAACTAGGTTTCTAATTGATACGGCTCATTAATGAACGGCTAGTATCAAGTTGCGTCCGACATTTGAGAGTAACTAGATGTATGCCTATTTATAGAGGGTTGTAGAGTTCGTGACACTGAGTTGCAAGACAAGAGCTTGTTGAACTGAGTAGACATCTATATTGTGATTGCTTTTGTTGATCATTCGTTTCTATTGTTAGTTAAAAAGAAGTTGCAATAAACCGTTTGTGGTAACCAAAAGAAAAGGAGACTTTATTTAGAAATTAGAGCAGGGTAAGTAAATTTCTTTGTTTATTTTCTGAGAAGAAATAGAGATTCAAGATGAAGTTCAATCAACTTAATGAGTAACTTCATTTCTTAAGTACTACCTTTTTGACTAAGTTTAACAATTTCTCAATAACTTGTTCAAAATGTAAGTTGAGGCATATTTTTCAAGAGATCCACTTGTTAAGTAACATTTATACTCTAGCCAAATATAAACTTGTCAACTATCGTATCAAGTCTTATCTATCTTAGCAAATACGTTTTTAAAATATCCATAAACAATTGAGATGTGCCTACATTTCTCCTATATTGTCTAACGCAACACCACCTATAGTTTGAAATGTTGGCTTTATCAAAAATTCTAGATAATCTAGTTGTATATTCTCTTTGATTTTTATTATCTTGCTTCCTCTAAATTCTTTTTAATTTAATCAAAGATCTTACTAGAGGCTAGAGGTTTCTTACGGAAAATCCTAAGCTTAGCTTAGTTCAATTATCGTGGTTTTAGCATGGTGTTATTGCAGGAGAATTAGATCTGCCTACAAATATGTAAAGTATACCTATCATTCTCAAAAAGACCACTTTCATCATCTACCCATTTATCAAAGGAAAAATTGAATTCATCTACTCTACATAATTCGTGTTGCTGCCTTAGTTTAAACTGAAGACAAGTGATAGAGAAAATGAGTTGGAATGATTTATGTTTTTCATAAATTTTTTGTAAATTTGATTGTTCTCCCCTAACTCAAAATGTTTGCATTCGCCGTGTTATTTATATTTTACAACATATGCTGAAGTTAAGCTCCAATTTTTGCTACATAGAATTACTCATTTCGCCATGCCCACATATTCCAAAACAATGGAACTCTCCATGAGAGTGATAATTGATTTCAGGAAGTTTTTACTAACATGCCTAACCATCTTTCCGGGATAGCATTTCAAATTTCTTCCATATGATCATAAATATAGTGGGCACATGAGAAGTCATTTTTATGCACTAAGATTTGAATCTCTTTTTCTTACAAATAGTGTTAGCAATCTTTTAGAAACATAGGATACTGATTTTGAATCTTGAAATTTTGAGAGAACTTAGATGTAAAGGAGCATGCATTGCATGCCTAATTATATATTCTTCCCTTTCTTAGACTTGGGGCAACACAAAATTCAAGCCCTTTTTCTTCTCTTAGAGATGCTCTCTCACTCTCTCCATAGACACATATTCAGAGGAATTGTTTACCTTTGCAGCACCTTCTTTTACGAGGGTGGGGGGGTTAACCCCAAAAAATTCTGGTTAGACCAAATATGAGGCACTTTTAACCTCAAGCATCCCATGTCACGTGTTATAAGATATAAAAATTTCATGACCACAACCAAGAAAACTCTACAGAAATTTGTTAGGGAACATATTCTTCTTGAACATGAATGCATGGACATTGGACAGAAAATGTGGTCCTCCTACATTTACTCTTTTATACTGCTATTGCTTGAGATTCGAGCTTTTCAACTCTCCCCCCACCCAATAGCCGCCACCCCCCACCCCAATACTGCTGATATATATTTGGTATATAAATATATTATCCGCCATTTGTAAATTGTAATTCCACTTCAATCCTAACTTTAAGTAGAGAATAAAAATACTGTGGCTGGAGGATAAGGTCAAGCTTCAACTTGAGCATAGAGCGTGGCTGCTGACCAGACCAAGCTTCGTGATTGTGTACGGTTTTTAAAACACTGATAAAAGTCGTGTAACTTGGGAAAAAATGGGTAAAATGATTTGCTAAAGAGAAAACATTGCAAATAATTTTTAAAATTACGCGTATCGCTTTCTCAAATTAATCTCGACAGATTTCTGAAATTATTTAATTGGAGTAGGAGGGCTATGAGGATGCACTATTGTAAATAAATGAATAGGCCTTTGCACCTATGTGCATAAAACAGAAAGGAACATCCAAAGAACAGGACGGAGATTACATAAAAAAAATTCTGGCTTCCTTATGTTTTCTAAATTCACTTAAATTTGTTCAGATTTTCATTGTCATACTTTTATGTTGCTTATTATACATCTTTCTCAGTCATGGTAACAAACTGATCCTGCAGGCAGTGTCCATATAATATTTTCATGTTAGCTCTTAATATAAAACATATTTTTCTCATGGTGATTTTAGATTTCTTTTGCTTTTGGGTGGTTTTTCTCTGCTGTTTTCTTTTCCTTTTTTATTTTTTGAGGGGGGCGATGGACCCAATAAATTGCAGTTGTTTTAGTTTATACAATTTACAGTCCAAGTTGTTGAACAAGCAGCAGATTTGGATGTCTTTTTTGCGCCTTTTACTTTGTTTATTCTTCTGTTTTAATGGCCAAAGACTCATCATTCATGCTAACGGTAAAGGATGGCTTCATAAAGTATAAAGTCAATTACAACTTTTTATTCAAATTTCTGCAAAAGGGTTATTTGTTTTTCCAGCAAAGATTCCTGCACAGTAAAAATAACTTGCCAACTCTGCTAAATGCAAGGCATAGAAGAGAATCAATATGAAAATTTCTCAGATTTGTGAGTCTTTAAAGGTCCATGACTTCATGGTCAAACCATAATTGGCTTGAACGGGGAAAATGTGGACTTGGAACATGGCACAGATATCATGATTTTACTGTGTCAGTTTTCTTGATTTTCCTGCAAGAAAAAGCATTTTTTTCACAGATGGAAGCAATGATTTGTGTGGGTTTTTGTAGACCATTTATGACTTATTGTTCTTGGTATTTGGATCACCAAAAATTTTGCATAATAATAATCAGAATGTCCCACAAGCTTCAAACAGAAATTCTAAAGCAGACTAGTTCAGCAGAAAATTAGTAGAAAAAGGATGATTGAGTAAATAATGGGAAAAAAAAAAAGGAAAAGGAAAAGTACATTTTGTCTCTAGAGTGCCCATTTACTGTACTTTTGGAGTTGATGACCAACTTACGTGTACGAATATGTTTCAATGCAAATACCGATATTTAACAAATAGTTTTGTTAGTTGGTTAATTGGTAGCGTGTTTCCCTTTTGAAGAAGTTTATCTCTGCAGTCTCCCTAAATTCGAGCGTGTTCTTCAACGTGAGGAAGCCCACAAGGAATCAAGTTTCAGTAATTGATAATGGTGTCATGAATAAAATCCAAGTATGCAAGATGGATTATTAGTGAATTCATTCCCTACACCATTAAGGCTCCTTTTGTTCAAAGCATCCTATGACATGGTGATGGATGATAATACTATACCATACACTAGAGGATTTAGTGTTGAATACTATTCGTTTTTCTACAAGGTGCACTTTCAGATCAAACCAAGCCTTTAGGTTGTTTAAGTATATTTGGGCTAGGTCATTATGCTCATGCCACCCCTTGTCAAAGTAAGTTGATGCAAACCCCCTCCTAAGGGTGGCAAAAATAAAAAATAAAAAATAAATCGAAAAACCAACCAAATCGATCAAACCAAATTGAGTCGGTTGGTTTGAACCAAAAAATTGATTTAATTTGGTTAATTTTAACCATTAAAAAGTTGGGTTGAGTTAGTTTTGGTTTAAGCAACCAAACCATTAATTAACCGATTCAAGCTGCAAATGCATTTTTTATTTTATTTTAAATTCATCTTCTTAAATGTAAAAAACAAAATAATAAAAACACAAATATAATTTTATTTCAAATAATTTGTTTATCGTTTATATTTTTTCTACCAAAATTTTAAATGTCAAAAGGGAAAAAAAAAAAAAAGGCAAAAAGAAGTGTTTGATGTAAACTTCAAATTTAAATTGAAACCTCACTTTCATTTTGGTGTAATTGTTTGTTGGTATTTATCGGATTTATATATGTGATGATTTTGGAAAAGATTGATTTTTTACTATTTATATTATATATATTATTGATTTGCATTACGCGAGAAAAAAATTTATATGTATTAAAAAAAATATTTTAATCCAACAAAGGTAGACAATTTTTTATTATTATATTTTACTCGCACGAATTCCAAACCGATTTGGCTTGATTTGGTTCGATTTCAATGACTAGATTGGATTAGTTTGGATTGAAATTTATCCAACTGATCAAGTCCATTTCGATTTTCGGTTGGTCTCAAAATTAATCCAATTCGAACCATGCCCAAACCTACTCCATCTTGTCGCAATGGCGTGGAGCATCAAAAGTTGTTGCCCTACATCAACCGGTTCATGTTTGGCACAAGGCTCTTCACCTTTTTCTTCCATTACGTTCCGATTATAGTTCTAGTAAAATTAAATTAGATCAAATAACCATTCTTAGTTGCAACGTTTGCTTTGTATTCAAAGCTAATGATGTTCATATCAAACCTCTCTCTTTTATTGCACATTATGAACATTCTCTTTTGAGTTGGAGCCAACTTTTCAAAAACTACTCTATTGAGGGAGAATATCACGCTCAATATAACTAAAAATCAAAATGTAAAAATTTGATTGATATAATAGGGAAAAAACCCCATTTCCTGTCATGGAGTTGCAATTATTTTTTATTTTTTGATTGGTGGAGCTTCATGAGATACGATTGTTTCACTTTGCTGTCTAATTAGAATTCAGCAATTTCAAAGATTGCTCTTAAATCTGTCCTTGCCACAGCATTTTACTACTTCGATACAGTGAGTAAATTTTAATAAAAATTGATGAAATACATCATTAAAAAAGTTGTCCTCTAAAATATGTGATTAAGATTAATTGTTGACTTTAACTTGAATAGAAATTTAAATTCAAACGGGCATAACAAATTTTAGAAAACTTCGATATAACATGACTTCAGCCTTCATGAAGGTAACAAGCACGAGAACTCCAAATGCATCTCTAAACAAGAAGAAATTGGCAATTTTCATATTTTAGAAGAGATGCCTATATGGCCACAACAAAGAGTGTTTGGAAGCATGCAGATTGAAACATTAATTAATACTATTATTCAGCTTAGTCATGTTCGTCCATGAAACAATTTTCTAGGCGTCAGAGATTCAAAGGACAAATCACAATAATCTAATTTAAAAGTTTGATTTTAACACTTGACATCACAGTCAATTTTGTTCTGCCAAATAGATATTCAACGGCTATAAGCAGAAAACGTGCATTCAATCACCTAGGTACTTCGAGAATTAAGAAAGTTATCCTGATAACAAAGCGCAAAGACAGGCGGCATTGAGTATATATGCAAATTACAGTCAATAGACAGATTGTGACATTCAAGCCCACCTCCTTGAGGAGTAGATAGATAAAGCCATCAGCTCAAGCCTCATCCATTTGATCCTGCAGAACCCCAAACAGTGGTATAGATGAGTTAAATCATTTAAAGTCGGGTCTTCTACAAAACTAGTACCAAATCATGCAATTGAAAGAAATGCCAGATACTTGCAATAAGAAAATGTAGCAAAACCACGTCCTTTTTGATATGACTGGTTGATACCAGATGTGTTCAGTTGTCGGTAATGGAAAAACTCCAGATTCTTTGTACAAGAAAAAACTTGTAGAAAAGCACATCTGATTTATAGCTTGGACTCTATTCTCTAACACAATAGGGAAACTAATTCATTTAAACTTCAGGTTTAGCACAAGAACTAGATCTCACCCAGACAAACCCATTTACCCTTGGACTGCCATTTGATCAAGAACAACCAGGTTTTCAGAAAATCATTAAATGTATCAAAACTTAGTGAGGCCATGCAAAGAATAAAAAATAAAAAATAAATGGTTGAGACCCTACTTTCACAGGCAAATTTTTTTAAAGAAGCCTACTTTCACGGTGGAAGATAAACGGAGCCCACCTACAAATTTTTTTTTTTATTTAAAAGGCTTCCTTTCTACCTTGATTTTCCCCTATTGTTCTTATTATTTACCTTGCCCAAAAGGGCCTTTTAAATAATGAATTTATTTTAGAGCATTAATACATTTAGATATGATGCAACTGCAATGTGTTCATCTAGTGCCATGTTATCTACATCTGCATCTCATCAAACATCGGCCGAAACTCAAAATGCGATGCCTGTCGAATTAATTGATTATTTCAATCATAATATGCCAACAGACAGAATAATTAAAAGAAGTAATTGAATTCTGGCGAAAGTATGAAAGACGTTGGTCAATTGTTTCTACAATTGCGAAAGATCTATTGACACCTCCGGTTAGCACTGTTGCTTCGGAGTCTGCTTTTAGTGCAGGTAAAAGGATTTTGACTGATGTCAGGAGCCGACTGAAAAAAGATGTTTTGGAAGCGTTAATGTGTGTGAAGGATTGACAGGACACTCATTTTCGACTACAAGATAAATACGCTAAAATTGCATGTCATCAGGTAAGTGATATTTGATTTAATTATATTAATCAAAAATTTTTTTTATTTTTTAATCATTAAATTTAATTTTCTTTAAAAAATTGTACACGTTACAACAAGTTGTTCATGTACAATTTTTAACTCCGCCTACTTAAAATTGATGTAGCCGGTCCCAAACCCGAATAAAGGAGGAGGGTTTATATTTTATTAACTTTAAAAAGAAATAAAAAAAATATATTTTTTGTAAATGTATTTCAAAAAATAATTCGTTTTCATTATATAAATATTTTATACCTTATAAAAAGTATTACAAATTACAATATGATGTAAATAAAAAAAATAAAAACTTCTTCTCGTTAAATTATTTGTATTTTTTAACATTTTTTATTTTTAAAACTCTATTCTTTATTAACTTTAAAAAGAAATCAAAAAATATATTTTTTGTAAATGTATTTCAAAAAATAATTCGTTTTCATTATATAAATATTTTATACCTTATAAAAAATATTACAAATTACAATATGATATAAATAAAAAAAAAAATTTTGTTTTCGTTAAATTATTTGTATTTTTTAACACTTTTTATTTTTAAAACTCTATTCTTTATTTAAAAAAAAAAAAAAAAGTAGGCT